CATCCTGTGGGTTTTATATCTTGAATGTGGACCTTTGAACTCTCTGGGGCAGAATATTTGACCAAATAGTCAAATTTTCCACTGGGTTCCCCTAAAGTGTCCCATATTTCTTTCTGAGGGGAGGTTGGCTTCGTGATTTGGACTTTCTCCAATTCCAGCCTCAGGCCTTCAGTGACCTGTGTCAACTCTCGGTTTTGGTTTTCCTGGCCTTCAGTAGCCTGGATTTCTTTTGCAATAGCTAAAGGTGCTGCTTCAATCGAAGTCTCTGGTTGCTTGTGGACGTCTTCAGTGACCCCCTTATTGACTTCGACTATCACCCAGCTTTCATTTTCAGTACCTTTCTCTCCCACTAGAGCGTCACTTTGGTCAGCTTCCACCATGTTAATTTCTCCAATGCATGCAGGCTCGGAGTAATTGGTGTCTGCGACGTCCAAAGGGTCTTCGTCCACTTTCATTTTTGCTTTATCAACAAACTTCAGTCTGCCATCTTTAATTGCATTCTGGATTAGGTCCCTGAAAAGAAAACACTGTGAGGTTTTGTGGCCTAGGAAACTATGATATTTGCAAAATCCTCTTTTCTTTCTTTGATCTAAAGGAGGTATTGACATTTGATGGCACAATGAGTTGGACATCTTTGACAAGTAAATCAAAAATCTCGTCACATTTAGTGACATCGAAGGTATAAACCTTCTTTGGGAATTTGTCACTTTTCTCATTTCAACAATTTCTTTCCCTTTTGTGGGAACTAATAATTTGCAGGAGTAAGGTGGTGCCTGTTTTAATTCAGCGAGGTCGATTTCGACCTCTTCAAATTCGAATTCAGGATAATCTTCTGCTTCCTCAGTTCCAACATAGGAGGTCCTTTCCTTCTTGTTATTTTTAAAGACTCTGGCCTTTTCGGCCTTTAGCCTTTCGACCTGTCGAACCCTATCGGCTAATTGAGCCATATCCCTCAAGTATTGAGTGTCTAGTTTCTTTCGAATAGAGTAATCCAAGCCGCCAGCGGCCATTTCGACTAACTCATGTTCAGGCACTACTGTGAAACATCTAGACTTCAAAAGCCTGAATCTATTCAGATAATCATCTATGGGTTCAGTGAACTTTCTCTTGACACTGGCTAGTTCCTTCAGACTTATTTTTGATTGTCCCATGTAGAACTGTTCATGGAATAATCTCTCCAAAAGAGCCCAAGTATCAATGGACCCAGGAGGCAAAGTGGTGAACCATGTGAAAGCGTTCTTAGTCAGGGAACTTGGGAAATATTTGATCCCGAGGTCTTCATTATTGGCTATATCTCCCGCTTCGGTTAGATACCTGGCTATATGTTCGATTGTTGATTCATTGGTATCCCCAGCAAACTTTGTAAACTTAGGGACTTTATATCTCCTTGGTAAATCATTGTGCATTATGTAATCTAATATAGGGGAGGCATAATTTGGCCTTCTAATTCCTATGTTGAGGCCATTCTGGGCCATGATTCTCTCTATCATGGTGGTTAAATTATTTTCTGCCAAGATGTTATCGTTTCAAATTCTATGAACGACTGCATCAGCATCTTGATTTCGACCCACCATGACAACCCCTCTAGGTTATTCTTCTCGAAACTCTGGGACTTCCAGCCTTTCGACCCTTGCCCCTGGTTCCATAATTTCCCTTTGTGGGCCTTGGATCATTGGGGCTTCTAGCCTTTGTGCCCTTGCCCCCAAATTAACCTCCTCTCTGGCTGGTCTATAGGTTGGGTCATTAGCAACTTGTTCTATAATAGGTACGTTCGCTCGAACTCCCACCTGATTCTTCCTACGCCTCTCTGGGGGAGCAAAGAAATCTGCTATTTGACTCATGTTATCTGCGTTTTCTCTGTTTGTCACAGTCACATTTTGTACTATTGGGGCAAATATTTCCTGCATAGTTTGTGCTAATACCCCTATCATATTATGGTTACTGTCATCCATTAATTGCCTAAAAGCCAACTGGTTTTCTGTGGTTAAAATAAGCATTGCACTATAACCCACTGACCCTTGGTTATTTGTCATAAACTGATTTGCCCCAGACCCAGACCCTAATTGTGGTGATGAATTCGATGTGGAATTGTGTAAGCCTGCCATAAAAGATGTTGGCATTTCATAAGAGGAATTTCTGGTTCTATTACCATCGAAACCGGGTGGTCTAGTTAGTGGGGTGGCGAAATGGGTTTGTGTCCCTGATGGTGGGACGAATCCCCCGGGATAACCAATGGTTCCAGTATTTCCTAGGATCGAACTATTAGTTGATATGCCACTTATTCCATTAGTGACTATATTACTGGTAGAGGATGCAACAGACTGTGCATTCGAAAGGATCACATTAGATGTTCCCATCGAAGCGGTCATATTAGTGCCTGTTGTATGTGGGGCATTTTGTTCCCCTTGTTGATTGTCAGAATTAGACATCTTGTTCAAACGTTTTCTTCTGGATAAGGGTTGGTTGCTATTGGTTATTCTACCACTTCTAAGGTTCATAAAACAACAAACTTATCGCTCAGAGGGTATTTTTACAATGGTTATGTCTTAACAATTTTTTTTTTATTTTGTTCTAAATTCCGTAATGTCCAATGACGCGTCCTACCGGGTGTGCCAATTTGTTTACAGTGATTTCTGGTAAACAACCGCTAGTCCTCCAAACTATCGAATAATCTTACTGACTGTTATTCAATCTCTCTGGTAACTCGCATGATCGACTAGATTGATCCTAGGATGTATTGGTCACTAGGATAACTCTCATGATAGAACTGGTATTCATGGTTGGTATTTAGAATGTTATGTGGGTGTTTGACTTATTTCGATTACTCTATTGAAGATCTAAAGGCGTGATCAAGTAAATATGCGTGAAACTAAATTGCATGAATAAAGTTCAATTGTAAAGACATGTAAAACTGCATAAAAGACAAGTAAATAATTTCGAAGCATAAAAACATGTAATGTAAAAGATTCTCTGGAATGTAAAAGATTCGAAATATGAAGAAAGCGTTTAAAGGCAAGAAAATAGTAAAATGACTTTAACTGAAAAAAGGTGTTCGAATGATAAAAGCTTGAAGATAAAGGCATGAAATGTACAACAGTTTCTGAAATGTAAAGTATTTGAAATGGAAAGAAAACATTTAAATGTAAGGCATCAGTAAAAAGACTTCGAATGAAAACATTTTAATGCAAAAACTTTTGAATGGTATTGACATGAAGATAAAGGAAAATACTGGAAATGATAAAGAGTTTTTATTAAATCATAAACACTTGGTGTTATCATACGTACATTGCTCGTGCATTCGTTTCCCTAGCCATGTGGTATTTTGAATGTTTACTGAGTTTTTTGTACAATAGATATGACACACGAAATCCTAATGCTAAGACTTCTATTTATACTACTTCGACCATAACGGACTTGCTATAAGATTCTGCCACGTTCAGAACATGCAGAGCAATGCCTCTCCCTAGCTTCCACGCGTCTTCGAATGCTCCAGCGCATATATTTCAAATTTCGAACATCCCGCTTGCATTTGAATTTCAAATGTTTTGGCATTTCTTCGCTTCGAACGCATTGCTTGGACATAACCTTGTTAACATTTCGAGACTTCTTTGAATATATCCTCATAACTGTCACTCGAAGCTCCAAGCTTTGATATGGCCATTCGAAGCACTGCTTCTACCATTTCGAAACATGACATCTTGCTTTATTCCAATCGAAACATCCAATTTGCTTCGCTTCTAATAATATCATCAAAATCTTCAGCCAACAGGTAGACAAACTCGAGTATCGTTCATCATCACTTGTCACTGAAGGAAAGGTCAAGTTCACCAAGTTTAAGCTGAAGACAGATGACGATTTAAATGTTATGTGGAATACTTTTCACCAATACTCTATTAAGGGTCTGATCGAATTGATTGTAAAGATTCAGAGATCCAGTAAAGATGTTATCAAAATATTGCGACGTCCTCAATTATGCGTTTATAACAATATGTTATTTATGTTTAATTTATGTTATTGTTTATGTAATATCAATGTTACGACGTGCTCAGTTACCCGTTTATAACAATATGTAATTTATGTTATTGTTTATGTATTATCTATGTAATACCAATGTTTCAACATCTATCTTATATCAATGTTTCAAGGTTAAAGTTTCAAGGTTTCTGTTTTGTTTTATCTTTGTTACAAAGTCAATGTTTCAATGTTTCTGTTATGTAGAAATTATTCAGTGTTTATTTCGGAAATATACATCCGAAAAAAAACATTATGTATCTTCGAAAATATATCTCCGAACTCACCTAAAAAAATGATATTAAATAACTTCGATAATACATCTTCGAAATCACTCCAGAAAAATGAAATCTGGTGCATTCGAAGATATATTTTCGAATTCTGAAGATAAAAACGAAATTTCGTCAAAGGTGACTAAAAAGATGTAAGGATGGAAAAAAAAATTCCCTTATAAATGTGTAGTAATCCTTAGCATTTGTTTTATTGTATGTGTTAATTTTATTATTATCCACTTCTATAAACCTTGGAAACAAGTACATTAAGTCAATTCATACATATGGAAACGAAAAGCTGTTACAGAACTCGAAAAAACAATGCGCATCATGCATAATGTAATTTCCTATGGAAGCACACTAAATGTGTGCCGTTTCAAGTACCATCCCTCTAATTGAATGGAAAACACTGCTTTCATCAAACTATAGTACAAATAAATTTCACTCTCATTATCTTATCACTAAAACTACCCAACATTGCATGAAGCTAACTTCTCACCACTGTTTAAAAGTGATAATAATAAAGTAAGTACCTTTTTTAGTCATTTTTCTTGTTTCATTTGAACATTAAGTTGCTTTTTCTCTCCTCTCACGTTAAGCTCATCTACTTCAACAACAACTTAAATTAGTATATTCTGTCTAGGACTATGTCTTTGTGTTAAGGTACTGATTTTGGTTTTCTTAATGGTTGCTTTAGGTGTATTCAAGGAGTAAATGATGGAGAAGACTAATAATGCAACCGAAGAGGAAACTAATGAAATTGTCGAGCTTTTAGATCAAGTATTCTCATGGACTCTCCAAGATGTTTTTAACGAAAATCTTTACAAATACAAGGTGATATAGTTTTAAATCCAAAATGTTTTCTTTACTATCTCGTGTCTTTGTATAAAGTTATTGAATTGCATAATGCCTAGTTTTTGTTAATTGTTAGTATCATGTTATATTGAAATTATTAGTTGTTTTCTCTCAGGTGAATAAAATTCCAGAGACATTTGATTCACCCACAGCTTACAAGAAAGCATTTATTCCTCTATTGCTAGAGGAAACACACGCTGATTTATCTTCAAGTTTGTCAGGTGTTGCTCGAGCGCCTTTCTGTGAAATCTTGGAACTTAAAAGAGACAGCAAGCTATTCATGCTTCCCAAACCTTTGATCTATAATATAGAGTTTGAAAAGGGTGTTGGAAAATATGAACCCGAGTATGGGGATCTCATTTTGTTCACAAATATTAGGCCTAAATGTGTAGATGACTTGAAGTTGAACACACCTAAGAGTCCCTACCATATTGCTTTTGTTCTTGGTCCAAAATCTGAACCTCCAAAATCTAAATATGTTGAGAAAGTCAAAGTTATTTCATCCAAATGTATTAACACAGATTTTGAATCTAACATGAGGGATAATGAAACTCAGAAGCTGTATGCAGTTTACCTTATGAACATGACGACAAATGTTCGGATTTGGAAAGCCTTGAACTCTAAGACGCATGGAAGCATTATTGAAAATGTATTGCAACCTGATCTAAATGTAAGAATCACTAGACTGTTTATTTTGAATGAGTTTCTCTGTGTAATATCTTACTGTGTAGTGCAACCTACACAATTGGAATTCAAAATATGTTTATTAACGTAACCTGTAACCTGTAAAATGCTTGCTTTGTATTTCAGGGTGGAGTAAACTGTCAAAATTGTCTATCAGAAGCAAATTCTCATGCTCCATTCATCAAGGAAGACGTGATAATTCGTTCTCAGAATCTGAATGAATCGCAACAAGATGCTGTTATGAGCAGTATTGGTATGACAAATTGTCATCATTCTGAAGTCAAAATTATATGGGGACCACCAGGAACCGGGAAAACAAAAACAGTTGCGTGCTTATTATTTTCTCTGCTCAAGTTGAAAACCAGGACATTGACTTGTGCTCCAACTAATACTGCAGTTTTGCAGGTGGCAATTCGGTTGCATAGTTTAGTAATGGATTCAGTTGAGTATGATACACATGGTTTAGCTGAAATTTTGCTTTTTGGCAATAGTAAGAGAATGAAATTGGATTCTTACCCGGGTCTTGATGTTATTTTTCTTGATAACCGGGTTAAAATTCTTGAGGAATGCTTCAATCCCGTAACTGGATGGAAGCAAATCTTAGAATTAATGAAACGGTTGCTTAGGGATCCTCAAGAGCAGTATTTATTAGAGATATGTGCATACCGTGCATATCGTGCATACAAGAAAAATATGGGGAATGAGGAATGGAGAGATTTTGCAGTGATATACCAAATGGTTGAGCAAGATAAAAAGAAAAGAATAGTGACAATGGAGGAATTTGGTGAGCAGCTATTCATGGAATCATCAGATGAAAAGAAAAGAGTCATGGAATTAAGAGAGCAACTCAAGCTTTGTTCGGGAACCTTATATACATGCTTTACCAAGATACTTGAAGGCTATAGAGAACAACATCATTTCTTAGATAAAGATGCTTTATCACTAGATGAATTGGAAAAGGGAAAAAATAGGGATGCCTATCCTATGACATTTGAGAGATATGTGGAGAAGGCTTGGAAAGAGATTGCACAGAAATATGAATTGGATGAGGATGACAATAATGCATGTGTGATGTCACTGGAAAAATTTGTAAAGCAGAGATTTGGGAATTTAAGAGATATCCTTAAGGTCTTAAATCATGCCTTGTACACTCATTTACCAAAATCTTTTGTTTCCCTTGAAACCCTCAAAGTCATGTTAGAGGCTCCTAATCTGTTTGATTCTTTTGAAAACTCATTGAGTCAAGCCAAATTCAAGCTAACTCTTTTTGACCTAGAAGAAAAATTTGTGTCCGAATGCTTTGGACCAATGAGCGACAAAAGGGATGAGATACTAAGCATTCTAAGTTTGCTATCTACCTCGATTTCTCTACCTGGTATTTACATGAGACGTGATATAGAAAATTTTTGTTTGTCAAACACATGTCTAATTTTATGTACAGCTTCCAGTTCTGGTAAACTGTACTCAGCAGGAATGACTCCGGTGGAATTTTTAGTAATTGATGAAGCTGCACAACTAAAAGAATGCGAATCTACGATTCCTTTGCAGCTGCCTGGTCTTACGCATTGCATACTTATAGGTGATGAGAGACAGCTTCCTGCATTGGTCAAAAGCAAGGTAATTAAACATTTCATTTTTGTTGTTATTTGAACTCTGAAAATTTTGCACTAATTAAAGATTGTTCGGTGATATTTTGCAATATTATTTGTAGATAGCTGACAAGTGTGAATTCGGAAGAAGTTTGTTTGAGAGGCTGGTAACATTGGGATACAAAAGGAAAATGCTTAATGTTCAGTATAGAATGCACCCGTCCATTAGCTTATTCCCATGTACAGAGTTTTACGATGAAAAACTTTCTAATGCGGCCATTGTCATGGAAGAAAGCTATAACAAAAGTTTCCTTGAAGGAGATATGTATGCATCTTATTCGTTTATAAACATAGCTGAGGGGAAAGAGAAATCTGGTCGCGGACATAGTTTGAAGAACATGGTTGAGGTTGCTGCTATTTCTGAGATAATTAAAAGTCTTAAAAAAGGTCATTATTTATTTCATGAGAGTTTGATAACATTAGTTTTATATGAATTCTGAATCCATATCATGTGTAACTTGGTTTTCTTTTTCAGAGTTCATGCGGAAAAAGAAAAAAGTTAGCATTGGAATCATATCTCCATATAACGCTCAAGTTTATGAAATCAAGGAGAAAGTTAAGCAGTACACTTCGAAGTCTAACTCAGAGTTTTCTGTTAGTGTGCGTTCTGTTGATGGTTTTCAAGGCGGAGAGGAAGATATTATAATAATATCTACTGTGAGATCTAACGGGAGTGGTAATGTTGGGTTTCTTTCAAACAGACAAAGAGCAAATGTGGCTATGACTAGGGCCAGGTATGTTATTTTCAATCTTGCTATGATGTATCTATGTTTACCGTAAACTGAGTTCATATTTTGTTCAGATATTGTCTTTGGATATTGGGGAATGCAACTACGTTAATCAACAGTGACTCAGTTTGGAGAAAGGTAGTTCTTGATGCTATGGGAAGAAATTGTTTCTACAATGCTAATGATGACAAGAAATTGGCCGGGGCGATTGAGGATGTATTGTTTGAGATCAAACTACTAGAAGAAAATGAGTCGCAATTTAAGAAACTAAGAATAGGTGGAAAATCAACTACTTCCTACAGATGACTGGAAGAAATTTAACCCATAAATCATCTGTAATACTGGATTATTTTTGTTCTGATTCAATGTTTAAGATACTTATTAATATGATGAAAAAACTTAACTTTGTTAATTTATGTACTTGCAATATTAAGCTAACATATACCGCGATAATGTTTGCTTGGCATTCGCTTGGCTTTTCGAGCTGTTTCTCTCCAGGCCCATTGGGCTACTTCCTTTCAGACCCTATAAAGTTTCATCAGTCCGCGATATCTCAAGCACGAAATCTATGAAAGACGAAGTGATTAACCCAAAACAGACGACGGTCTTTGTCATATCTTTGGTAGTACATCTTTTAAGAATCACCAAGTATGAGTCCCTTAAGTGTTGGTTGGAGCGAGTTCTTCAAGCGTTGTTCAGGGAGAGTCCCTCCAAGCCTTGTTTAGAGAAGCATGCGATGCATTAATGCCTAGATATGAAAACCTTTTTCGGGAAGGTGTGATTATCGTGAGTCGTTGATCATATGCATGCGTGAATCCTAAGTTGTGTATATTTTTCCATTAGCGTTTGTTGGTGCATGTCTATGCTTAGACAATGATATCCTATGAGACCTAGGTAATTGAATTTTTATAAGAGGGAATCTTGAACCCTTTTATGTTCACATTTCCTTCAGTTTTTCCATACCTCTTATACGTGAGTCACTCCTCAAGCTTCTCCAAGTTTCTCTATGTCTCCGACCCTTTGTCATCTTAAGCACATGTACTAAGTTTTTCCTCTTTTATACTTTCCTTTTCTAGTTATTATGGATTTAGATTATGGGATAACGTAGTTGAACCTTCTACTTTTTAGGAGCATATAGAGATGTGGGATTATTGTACGAGGAATGTTCCGTGACCTAACAACATGATTAATGTTGGAGTGGTAAAGAATCAAGCAAAAATAAGTATTTATTTTAGGGTGATATAAATTATATCGTATTGTCTCCATAGAGATTAGTGAGAGGAAAAAAACTAATGTTCAACTGTTTCAATCCTTTTAAGTTTGGAAAAGGGTTTGCGAAAAAAATGCAGGAAAAATAAATAAAGCAATAAAGAAAGCGATAAACAATCATCTACAGCCTAAGAGAATTCATTCTGGAATCACATTTCACTCTACCCGTCAAATACTTAAACTTGTGGATCAATTGCACGTAATCAAAATCACTCGTCAATACCATCACGTATCGCTCACACTAAGGCTATCTCTAACACAAAGTGAGATATATCCATATTGCTCTCGAAGGCGATTTCGCGTGCAATTCAAACCGTCCGAATGCATTTCATAACCGATACCCACATGAATATTAAGCCTAATAGATATTCATTCAAGCAAAAGATTCGGTAAGCATATGTCTATGACAAACCAAATCTACGCAATAAAGCAAAAATCAAGAACAAACACCGGTATTAATTTGTAAAAGAGATTTCATACAATCCAATGATCAACAAATGTACATACATAAAGAGTATATATATATATATATATATATATATATATATATATATATATATATATATATATATATATATATATATATATATATATATATATATATATATATATATATATATATATATATATATATATATATATATATATCGAAAATCGTAGACCGTGTGTTGTACCCCAAAATTTTCCCTCTTTTTTCTCAATACATTTCTCACAAAAATCTTCAAAAGCTCAAGCTTGCACAATATTGACTAGGTCATGCCATCTTCTCAACACTGATACCTCAAAATTAGGGTTTGGGCTTGCACAAAGACAATTGGACCTCTAATACTTCAAATGACTTTCATGGATCATTATGGACCTTCAAGAATACTCATGTCAAGTTTCAAGTCTTGTATCATAAATTTTGCTCAGTAAATTGACGAGATGGCCTAAAATCAGTTGTATTGATGAAAAAATCAATTATAGCGCTAAAAGTCAAACTTTGAATTTTTTGTCAATATTAAGTTTCAAAGATCACAATTCATCAAGACATTCAAAAATACAAAGTTTGATCATCAAGAAATCAAGAAAGTCAAAAGTCAATGTGAAAAGTCAAACTTTTCAAGACTTAAAAATTTTCTCTCTAGCCAAATGTTGTCAAAGACCAAAACGTGATAACTTGAGTCAAGGGCTATGACCCACTCGATATGGTGAGTTTGATTCTCGTAGAAGGACATTCAACGATGCGAAAGCTGTAATCAAAGTTCAACTTCTGACATTTTCTTGTGTTTACCTCGTGAGATCCTTGAAAACATTGCATTTTACATATCATGCATGTCATTGCATAACAGGTATTCTTAAGACAGGTTTATCATTTTCTCGCTGTTTATTTCAGTAAGAAAATGGCTCTAGAGCAAATGATTAAAGATCTCCAAACTCAGAACGCCCAGTTCCAACAAATGTTCCTGAACTTAGCCAAGGGGCAGGAAGATCTGAATGCACTCTTCACCCAAGGGAGCAAGAAGAAGGCAAAGAAACAAACTGGAATCCTAAACATGGGGAAAAGGTTTAAAGGCCCAGTCTGTCAGGTGAAGATAGTTGAAGAGTCGTTCAAGGAAGACGAGAACCAGGATGAAGAGGCAAGGAGAACCCGTGCTGGGGGTGCAAATGATCAAGCTTCTGAGGACGAAGACTACTTTGATGAACAATATCCACCAGCTAAGGATAAATATAAGCAGTTAGAGGATAGATTGAAAGCTGTTGAAATTCAAGCCGTACCTGGTTTGGATTTTGGTGATTTGGGCTTAGTACCTGGGGTCGTCATTCCCCATAAGTTCAAAGTATCACTCTTTACTAAGTATGACAGAGTTTCATGCCCAAAACTTCATATGAGGTCCTACGTCCGCAAGATACAACCACATACTACTGACAAGAAGCTCTAGGTCCATTTATTCCAAGAGAGTCTAGCTGAGACTTAGCTAGAATGGTTTTACCAATTGGAGGGTTCCCACATTCACACATGGGAAGATCTAGCCACTGCTTTTTATCATCAATATCAGTACAATGCTGATTTGACACCAACTAGAGTTCAACTTCAAGGAATGACAATGGATACTAATGAAGGGTTTAAAGAGTATGCGCAAAAATGGAGGGATCTTGCTGGTAGGGTCCAACCACCACTAACTAACAGAGAACTAGTTGATATGTTCATGGGTATGTTAACTGGCCCCCTTTTCAACTTGTTAATTGGGAGTTCTTCGCCTGGTTTCACCGAGTTAATCCTAACTAGTGAAAGGGTCTAAAGTGGCATTAAGAGTGGAAAAATTCCCATGGCATATGCTTTTGCGTCCAACTCTGTAAAGACGCCCTTTACGGGTAAAAAAGAGACTAATGTTGTGTATGGATCAAGAAGTCGTGCTAAGACTAACTGCTATCACTCAGTGGGGGCAGTTTTAATTTCCAATCTTACATCTACTCAATCACAACGAGAGGGTAGGCGTAGGACAAAATTTCAAGAAAGACAATACACCAAGATTGGTATGTCCTTACCACAAGCCCTACAACATTTACTGAAAGCTGAGTTCATTTCACTAAGAGACCCTCCACAAAATCCCAATACATCTTCATCTCAATACAACCCCAATGCCAAATGTGCTTACCATTCAAATAGCCCCGGACACGATACCAATGATTGTTGGACTCTAAAGAATAAAATCCAAGACCTAATTGATAACAAGACAATTGAATTAGACCCTTTGTCAACTCCCAGCGTAATCACTGCTCCCATGCCAAATCATTGAGAGCGCTCAGTTCATTTTAAATTTTCAGTTGTAATTTCTTTTGTTTGTTCGAACACTTATCTATTATGTCAAACTTTGTTTCATTAATGCATTGCATATGTTTGTCTTGAATTAATCCAATCATTTTCACTATATTTAAATTGTGCTTTAATTCCCTTTTTATGATATTCAACTCTCGTTAAAAGTTGTAAGCCTTTAGAGGGAGGATGATGAAAACAATATCATAATCTCATACAATATGCTTTTGGGCAGATCTTGCTGATGATGTACATGGTTCTTTCAATTCCTAAATAGTGGAGTTATAAGGAAGATAATCCCTAGTCAACCCCTTTGAGCCAAAGAAGTAGGAGTTTTCTTTTTCACACAAATTGAAACCTTTAATCATAACCTGGGGCAGGGTAGTTTCTCAGCTAATTCAAATGTGCGTTCAGTCGCAAGCTTTCACTTCGTACACAATGAGTGACATCAAAAACATCCTTATGAATCAAAAGACGGTGATAGTTCCCTGTAAAATAGGTAGTCATTATCTCTCAAAAGAAAAAGCCCACTAAGTCAAAACCTACGAAGGAGACTTAAGAAAAAACTGGGGCATCCCGCTGATTATGGTCTCAAAACAAAAACAGACAGGCAAAATTAGGGATAATAAATCAAAAAAAGAGTTCGCTACAAATCCTCAACAATAGAAAAATGTTGCAAAAAATGACTGCCTTCTCCAATAAACTTAACTTGTCTGAACCATCACCAAAATATCATTCTAGATTGTATTGGGAGATAAACACGCAATTAACTGAGTATAGGACTGGAGAACATCATGAAGAACAGATGGATACAAATAAACTTTGAGCCTTATCCTTTGTTTCTTAAACTGTGAACCATGCCACGCTAAAACCCTTTAAAAGTCCTAATTGAAGCATGAGTTAGTTCGAAAGCATACTGTTACAAAAGGTATCCTGATTCTTGTAAGGCTTACTGTAAATTATGAGTTAAATTCATATTCTTACAAAATTCTTTGATTTGCTAAAAATGAATTTTCAAAAACTTCAAGACAAACATAAACTTCGCATTGTTTACTGTTGTTTGCATATGGCTAATTGTTTGACAAACAGAGAAATTCGCACGTCGAATATCCAATGAACGAAAATTCTCTCAAGAAACAAAGTCACTTCAAATGGGAAGACACTTCCAATGACAAATCTCCCATAATCAAGGTGGCATGACATGTTATTGTCCAAACTCATCAGTGGTAGTCAAGTCAAG